AGGAGCTGGGGACTAGCCACCAGCAGTTAGACACTAGCTAGATGTGATGGCAAGAAATCTGCCCTTATCAGCAATCAAGTCTTATTTAACCCATCCACTAGAGCACAGAGATATGAGGAGAGCTGTACCCCCATGACTGACATGCCAACCTGAACACCTGTCTGAGGAGAGCTCTGCCCCAATGAATGACATAAAAACCTGGACATCACCTTCAGGAAGTTGCTGGCACAACACAGCAGACACCACCCCTGAGATTCCACAAAGATCAACCCTTTGGAAAAGGGCTGCAGAAAAGGAGAGTTTTTGAGCAAGTTGGTCTGTTTTACCTGTGGCAGGGCTTGAACAACAGTATCCAGCAGTGCTCTCATTCCTGTGGCCATCTTCAGTAGCTTCAGGACTGCCAGAACAAGCATGAGAGAAGTGTCACTCAGACTGAGCTCAGAAGGTCCATCCTTTGTGTGATTTACTAATGGCAGTAGCATGAGACAGATGCCCTGTCTCCCCTAAAAAAATGGATTGTCCCTTTCAGTGCCCTTCTCCCTTTTCCCACTATTTTTGACTGTACAACTCCAGGGTTCCTTCTCCTCCAGTCCACTTCCCTCTTAATAAATACTCTGCTTCTGCCACCCATGTCTATTTGGCTCCTTCTGCTTCACCCAGTCTGGCCAAGAGCCCTCTTTCTTACAGCAATGTATATCACAATTCTCCCTCTGCTCTGATTTTTCACTCCATCACTTTTTCTTCCTCCAGCCATCTGTTAAGGCAGCTTAGTACACCTCAGCCACCAGCAGGAAGATTTAGTCCCTTCCCTCTGCAAACTTAACCTGCTCGTGGCCTCTTCTCCAAGCACCACTGTCATACTTGCCCCATCAAAGAATAACAGGGAAGGTTCAGAGCTTGTATGGTCTGCTCAGCCTCCTGGTCCTTCACCTCCTGCTAAAACCACCACATCTAAACACCTGGCTAAAGGAAGTCAGAAGGACTTAGCCTCAGGGCTGTCCTTGGTCACATCCCCTGCCTCCCTCCCAGGGCTAGGGACAGGGTGAACCCCTGACTCTACAGCCACTGCTCAATGAGTCTCAGCCCATGGCCACCTCCACTCCTGCTCCTGGCCAGCGTCCCTCTCACCTCGAGCAATCCGCAGCACCCTCATGATCCGGATGATAGTGGGGTTAATTGGGAGAGCAGCATTGATTTCAATCTCTTCCAGGGTGATGCCCATGACAGAGAGCAGCACAATGGCCAGATCTAGCTGGTTCCACCTTAAGAAGAAAAATGGAAGAGGATAAAGGAAGACAGAGTTTTTCCATTTCCCTGAAAAGGAAAGTCAATTGCCTCCACTTCAACCTAAATATTTCTTTATGTATGAGTTCAAGGCCCCACTCTGAGTCAGCCTCTCTGGGCTTTTGCAGACAAACAGAGCTTCACTCTGCACACAACCTGTGCAGCCAGAGGCAAGACAGCCTGATCTGAAAGCGTGGAGCTGTGTTACTATGGTGCTGTGCTTTGACTAATGGGCTCAGCTTTTTATGGCCTTACTACGTCCCATCAGCTTCCGTATGTATGTTCAGCTTCAGCATGCCTCTGGTTTGCCTCAAGGGCAAAAAAATAATGGCTCTCTCTAATCCCACCTCCTTTGCGTCCTAGCCTCACCAGCAGATGCCAACTGTAAGGCAATTTTTGGACAACTCTACCTATTGCCTGGGCTGAGGTGAGGCCCATGCTGTTCAGAACCGGGAGATGGTCGAGGGCACTCTGCTACCGCTTCACATTCCAAATGGGGATCTCACCCTCAAAACGTCCACCCCAAACCCAGCTGTCCCACAGCCACAGTGGAGGAAACCCCTCTGCTCACCTGTCCTTGAAGAACCGCCGCAGACCAAACGCCACCAGCTTGAGGACTGCCTCCAACACAAAGACAGTGGTGAACAGGTAGTTGCAGTATTTGAGGGCGGTCTCCAGGGACTGCCAGCAGAAAGAGGGTAAAGAATTGAGGCAAAAGCAACATCAAGCACATAAACTTTGGGAGGGCTCTCCCCAGTGTCAGGAATTTGCTGGGTGATGGGAAAAACGCCCCATGCCTTCGACTACGTGAATGTGGAGGCTGCCTCCTAAGGGCAATCACCAGCTGGCCCCTCTACCCTCTTGTCATCAGTTCTGGTTATTGTTTCTTTCTCCTGTACTGCTCAGCATAATGGGGAGGAGAATCCACCAAGGACCATCAACCTCCTCTTCTGCCAGGAGGCTGCGCCACCTGGATGCCATCCTGTCTATTGCACTGGCATAGCTATCAACCAGGAGCAAGGCAGGAAGGTCACTCTATTTGTGGATACATGTCACTTCTGATGGGAGGAAACCCATCTGTGCCTTGGTCTGGGGCAGGGATATGTCATATCTCTTGGCTGTTTGGCTTCTGGTTCTTTTATGTGCTGCCCCTTCTCCACCACCGAGGACCATGGAAGCAGTGGACAGCATTTGGTGGCACTTCATAATGGAAGGGTTTTTGCTTTGGTAGGATTCTTTAGCAAAGCCTGGTAGCAGGCTGGATCTGGGTTTCTGGGGAAGGAGCTGAGGAGTAAGGAAGAGGAGTGGCTTGTTTAGGAACAAAGGCCTGGCATAAGGATGATAACAAAGGTTGAAAGTTCCAGCAGAGTAAAACTGGGTGCCATCAAGGGCAAGATCAAAGCTGGGCAGTTGGGCAAGAAACAAAGGAGCCTGGAAGTAAATCTGAACGAGGACAGACAAATTCAGTTCTTGATCAAAACCTGAGCTACCTCAGACAGCATCTGCTCAGACACGAGAGCTGTCACCTAAACCAAGGGTCTGCTGAAAAGAAAACCAAATGCCACCAGGCAGACATCAGGATGAATGCTCTGCCTACACAGGGAGGCAGAAAGCTCCTTTGATATGTGCAGCACACATTCCTTCCACCAAAGGCATCTAGAGCTTTGCCAGGAACACCAAGAGGTACGTGGTCTTCCCTGATCAAAGTACAAAACTTCTTTGGCCTTTAAGGACCTTTACTGGGACTCACCCCCTGCAGTTGAGAGAGGCTCTGCTCAGCACCCTGCCCCTGCAGCTTCTCTTATGGAAAGAAGGTGGCTCAGTAAAGACAGCCCATCCTATGACACACAACCTGCCACTCTAGTTGTCTCAGCTCAGGCCATGTGCCATGGGAATAAGGCTGACATTTTGACATCTGATGCAAAGCCTGAAGCTCCCAGGACGCTGCTGCTTCCCCCACTACTCCTGTTAGGATCCAGCTGAATACACAAAGCACACCAGGCAGCTAAATTTGGGTGACCCACATATCTATTTAATAATATAAAGCACAGGGATTTAATTGCACCCTGCTTTCTAGGGGCCTGAATCTTGCTTAAATCCTTTATCCATTTTCATGGATAACAAGTGTCTGAATCAGGGCCACCTTTCTGAAACTCTTGACAGAACTTTGCCTGCTATGTTAACCCTTGCAACACTTGAACTGTATTTGGAGACATTCAGTGGGGCAAAGCTGGCAGTGGGCAGATTCAGGCTGGCCATGACGAAGAAGTTCTTCCCCATGAGAGTGGTGAGACCCTGGAATGGGTTGCCCAGGGAGGTGGTTGAGGGCCCATCCCTGGGGGTCTTTAAGGCCAGGCTGGATGAGGCTCTGGGCAGCCTGATCTAGTGGGAGGTGTCCCTGCTCATGGCAGAGGGGTTGGAACTGGGGGATCCTTGTGGTCCCTTCCAACCCTGACAGATTCTGATCTGTTTTAGCAGAGGACTTTAGAGCCCTAATGGCTCAATGGTTGGACTTGATGATCTTGGAGGTCCCTTCCAACCTAAAGGATTCTACGATTCTATAAGTGTCCTACCCATGCTGGTGGGCAGAGAGCTACAGCAAAACAACATAACGACTAGAGGCAGGGCTTTATCTCCAGGATCTCACTCACCACAGGCTGGTTGTAGTGCTCCAGGGACATAGTGACCACGTTGAGGCAGATGATGAAAGTGATGAAGATGTCCAGGTAGTGGCTGGTGCAGACTGAGTGGATAAGGAGGCGGATGGGGCAGTAGGTAGCATAGTACGGCAACCGCTGCGCCTCTTCGGGGTGGAGAGGGAGTTGGACAGAGTTGGGAAGAAATTGAAAGAAAGAGAGAAATGGGTAAGAAATACTGAGGAGGGAGCTGATATAAGAGTGGTGATGGATTTTGAAAGAAAAGGGAGACAAGGTGGGAGAGAGAAAGAGCAGGAAAGAGTAGGTAAAAGATAGGGGAGACGTGAAGGAGGGGGAAAATGCAAACAAAGGGGAAAGTGGGGAAAAAGTAAGTAGAAAAAAAGGCAAGGAAAAGAATGCTGGAAGGAAAATCTGTTAGTCTATGTTTGTGGGAATGGTGCTAAATCAGCGTTTCATGCCTCGACAAATTAAGATCACAAAAGATAATCGGGAGCAGATGGTTCCAGGAGAGGACCCAGGGTGTCACAGGAGAGAGGGGGGAGCTAGAGCAGAGGAAAGGAAAGCATGCCCACAAGGTGACGGATGGAAGAAGACCCTGGGGTAGCACAGATGGTTTCCAGGGGCAAGTATGCTCTTGCAGCTTTTGTCTAAAGGTAACACAGAAGAGGATGGAGACACCGTGAAGAGGGCTTGCTTCACCACAGAGGGTCTGGGACCCCCAAGGACTGACACAAACATTGACAGAAAGAGCCAGGAACAAAACACAGGGGTCTTCCTCTTTTTTTTTCTTTTCCCCTCTCTTCTTTAAATTTGAATTTCAACCCAAAGGATGGTCTGTCCAGGCCTTCCCCCAAACACCAGCCGGCTTGCAGGAAGCCCAGGTGGGACCATCCCAAGCCCAGGAGAGGCACCTGGTCCTGTCACGAACTAGCACATGCACGGGGCCGTTTCTGGCACACGTTCTTTCCCGAGGGGCAGGATGCTACAACCCCAGCAGCTTCCCCAGGGTCCCGGCAGCCCTGGAAGGCCACCCCTCTGCCCCAGACCACCCCGGCGAGGCGGGGAAGGAGCCCGGCAGCACGGGCGTGAGCAATGAGGTTTTGGAGACCGGTCCGTTGGGAAAGAAAAAGAAGAGGAGAAGGTTTTTCTTCAAAAAAACCCTTGGCCTACGAACCGACCAAACATTTAGGCTGGGCCTTACTCCTTCTCTTCTTCTCCAGGCGTCTCAGGCGCTTCTCCTCCCGCCGGCGCGCCTCCTCCGCCTCCTGGTGCTGCCGGCACTTGTGGCAGACCCCCACGAACATGTGGAGCACGAAGAAGCTGACGATGAGGAGGAAGGAGATGAAGTAGAGGAGCATCCAGGGATTGTTGTTGGTCACTGGCTGAAGGAGGAGGGGGAAAAGAGAGGCGGTCAATCCGTTGGATGTGGAGCGGTATGGGAACGGTGGAGGGGGGACCTGCCGTGGTGGCTGGCTGCTGGGGGGTGGGGAGGGGTCCTGGAAGTCAAGGGAAGGGGCCAGGAAGAGCTGAGGCTACAGGCAAGGCAGGTTGCTGTTGGTTGACTGGCTATCTGCATCGGCTGGCAACTGATGGAGTGGGTGGGAGTCAAGGGCAGGCAAAGACTTGCCCACACAGTCACCCACAATTCAGACACAACCCCCTCCCACAGGGTGAGCACACCACCAGTTTGTGGTAAAAGGGGTGGTCCAGGCAGCAGGAACACCTCTGGCTCCAGGGCAAGCAGAGACCACATCCACACCCCACCAAAACAGCACCAAGCCCAGAATAAGAATATCACCCAGGTTCAGAGAGAAAGGAAGCCCTGGCCTTGACCAGGTGGTCTGACAAAAAGCCTGCAGAGCCAGCACTGGTGCATCTCATCCAGAGGTTCAGAGGTAGGTGGAGCACCACCCCTGAGGTTCAAGCCTGTGGTGCTGCATCCCATGGCAGGTGCCTACACTGGACACTACCAAGGTCCTTGCCTTAGGAGTAGAGGAATGGGGATGCAGTAGACAGCAGCCCAACAGTCCCTCTTTACAGGGTATTCAGATAAAAATCTGGAGGCTGGGAGGGAGGCAGCGTGCCTGGAAAGGCACATGGCATTGTTGCTCTGTCATTACAAAGAGATACAGGCCTGCTGTAAGACCCAAACTGAGCAGAGGGTGAGAATTATTACATGCAGCCACAGCTGTACCTCCCTGCATGGGCCAGGCATGACCCTCACCCCTTGCAAGAGAGAAGCCAAGGATTCAGAAGGGCCCTGGAAGGGACTCTTGGTTTGAGGGAGGTGTCTGAAGCAGAATGTCAAAGGATGCTTCCGCCTTACCAGCCTGAGGAAAGTGAAAAAGCTCTTTACACCAGGTAGCCTCCATACCTGCTGGTCAACAGCCACAGCATCTAGTCCATTATACATAATATTGACCCAGCCATCCTTGGAAGCCAGAACAAAGAGGGACATCAGAGCCTGCAACATACAAAGCAAAGCAGATGTGGAGCAGGTGCATCTGGTAGGCTGGGGGAAAAAAAAATAAAATTGTAGGTTCATGCTCTAACACACACAAAGCTGAAATATTCTTCCTGCCTGTGTCTCTGCACACATCAAAACCTGCTCCTTCCCCCGTGGAGGAGAGGGAGGGAGGAACAGGAAGCCACGTACAACCAGAGCCACCAGAGGAGAGAGGCTGTGAAGAACATCTGCTTCTTGGCAGGAAGAAAATTAAAATCAAGCTCTCTGCTGCCACCATTTTGCTTGGTGGCATTTTTCTTCTTTTCATTTTTCTTACCCCTGCAACCTGTAAACATCACCCTGAGACCAACCCACAGCTCCTGCACGCATAGCCAGGCCAAACAACTGCTCCTCAGGCTTTCCAGGTGCTGGGGAGGGGGCCATATAGGAGGAGACAAACCCTATAGTGGGTTCCCATGAGAGACAGGGCTTGTGGGCACGCTCACCTGACCAAGGTTGTCAAAGTTGTACTTGTGGTGCACCCACTTATAGTTGGCAGCCACGCAATCGGATCGGTTGGTGATGTTCCTGATGTCGACTCCCAGGCAGTGGTAGAACTTGCCCTTGAAGAGCTGCAGGAAGGGAGTGACCCTCATCAGCCCCCTTCCCCACAGGCTTCCCCACGCACCCTGGGATGTGCAGAGGCTCCCAAGAGGGTGGGTGGCCTGCAAGGCTGAGAGCTAGATGGAGCATGACAAGTTAGCAGGACTACCAACATGACAAAGGTCACCGGCTCAAACACTGCTAAGGAGCCAGGGCCACCCTCCTAAACACCCACCTACCTTTCCAGCCTCCTCCCTTGCCCCAGGCAAGCAGTGACTGTCAGCCCTCACCATCTGACAGCCCTTCTGGGGGCAATTAGAGCCACCAGCCCAACAGGGAAAAAAAAAAAATCTTCAATCCCCAAAACTTATCTCCCCTTCCTGCTCCCTGTTTGCTGAGAGCTGATGGGAACAGAAGATCTCATCTGAGGGGAAAGAGCTAGAAAAAAAAAAATCCCCTGCTTCTCAGATACTTTATTTTCCTTTCTTTTTTCCCCAAAGCTGTACTGCACTGTTGTGGCTCTTCTGCCCAGGGCTTCTCTCCCCATATGGAAGGTACCAGGTTGTGCATTTGTACAGATGCATCAGAGCAGACTAAGTATAGCACGTTCCCTGAGATGGAAGCAACGCCCACACCCCTGCTCCTCTGCAATGCAACAGCCAAAAATAAAGAGGATTAAATTAAAAAAAAAATAAAATAAAAGGTTTGTGGGTGGATTTAGAGCTCAGAGCAAGGGGGAGAAACAGCTAACTGGAGGCAAGTAGGTGCTGAGCGGCTTGTCCTTGTGGTGTGACATGGGCTGTGCCAGTCCTGGGCTCTCCCTGTAATGCTGCCCCAAAGCCTGACCCCACTCCTGCCAGGTGGGAGTGCTGACTTCTGCCTCACACATCCCAAAATGTGTGCTGAGCACCTGGCTGTCCTTGCTCACAGAACAGGGCAGGTTCCAAAAATTTCCTTGCTCCCCTGTCCTTCCTGCTCCACTTGGTTCCCTGTGTTTGTTGTAGCACCTGGGGGTGCAAGAGCCCCTGGTAAGGGTGGGGATATGGGGGCTGTTTGGTGGGCAGTGCCAACCTACCTGCACACCCAGGATGCCAAAGATGATGAAGAAAGCACAGCAGATAAGGACGATGTTGCCTATGGGCTTGAGGGAGGAAATGAGTGTCTCCACCACCAGCTTCAGGCCCGGGGCTCGGCTGATGACTCTGGAAAAGAAGGGAGGTGAGGGGTGACAGAGGGCCAGGGGAGGGATGTTTGGCCTAAGCAAAGCATTTCCAGCACCAGCAGACCCCTGCTCTCCCTGTGCAGTGACCCATCAGTGGAGATCCAGCTCCTGAGGCAAAAAAAGCCTCTTCTGTCCCAGGGGTTGGTTATCTGATGAGGTACCTCCAGGGCCAGAGCCACATGGCTAAGGTGAACCTTCCTGGGGCTTGTGGCTTGTCAAAGACCATGCTTTGCCTGGCACTCTGGGACCCTTTCAGGGGTGGGCTGGTGGAAAGAGAGGGCCAAGCAGGACGTGGTGGGGCTCTGACCTGAGGGGCCGTAAGGTGCGCAGCAGCCGCAGGACTCTCAGCACCCCCAGGATTTTGGCACCCCCAGCAGAGGCCACGGAGACCACAATGTCAATGAGGGACACGAAGACCAAGAAGCCATCCAGGACGTTCCAGCTGCTGCGGAGGTAAGCCTGGTCACCAAAATACAGGCCCAGAGAGACCACCTGCAAGAGAGAGGAGAGGAGAGGAGAGGAGAGGGGGTTAAACGGCTCCTCTCCATGTTGCCTGGTAGAGGGCAGCTGTGGAGAAAGAGGATGGGGAAAGTTATCAGCTCCACGTGGCACAGAATTGTCATCTCATCATCTTTTCCCTTCATCTGGAAGGCTAGGAAGGAAAATGTCTTTGTGGAAGGTGCTGGCACCTAACTCCAGAAATAAGAGGGCCAAGATGTCCAACAGGACACTGTGAGGAACACACAAGAAACCTTTCCCTGCCACCCCACAGACCTGGGGCAAGTCTTCCAGTCCAGAGAGTCCCACCTGGGAGGTAAAATCAGGCACCAAACCCCATACTTTGGCTCTTCAGGGGGTGGTTCAACTCTCAGCAGTTCTCAAGACCAACAGGTGCTACTGGACTTGGGGAGGGCTGAACACCCAGCAAATCATGGCCATAATTCAGGTATGAATTTTAGGGGTTTCACTTGAGGCACCCAGTTTTAGGACTGTTTCCCACACACAAGAGAAGAATAACATGATTTCCCTATGGTTGCAAAGTACTTCAGACACCCTGGGTAATTAGATCAATTAAAACTATGTTATTAACATTGTTATTTCCCCCATACTTGCTCCAGGAGAAGGTGGATGGATATTTGACATCATTACAAAATCCATACTTGAAGGCCAGCTCCTAGATGCTAAGATCCCTTGGATTTGAAACCTAGGATCAGCATTGCCTCCATGCCTGACAAGAGGGGACTCAACCACAGGCAGCATCTGCCTCTACAATTTAGAGGGAAGGACTGGGACACTGAAAAGATGGAGAGACTTTAGAAGGGTGCTGAGCAAACATGAACCATGTTGTTCCTGACACTGGGAAAAGACCCCGAGCTGTTCATCTCCAGTAACTCACCTTCAGTGTCATCTCAGCCACAAAAATTGCTGTGAAAATGTAGTTGGACACAGTGAGAAAGATCCTTTCCTAGAAAAAAAAAAAGGAAAAGGTCTTAAATGTATCTTGATGACTTCTTGTTATTCTCTCAGGCCCTTCTGATGAATTTGATGCCTTTTGCTTCCTTTTGAAGGGTCTGGAAGTTGGATAAATAATAAAGATGGAGGACTTACTTTCTAAGAGGGAGGGAATTAGGATTACTCTATTATAAAGTGGGTTGCCCCATTAGAAGACCCTGCAGGGGAAGCACACACTACAAGAGTTACTAACACTTGGGCATCTGAGTAGATGAGTGGGAGCTGGTGTTTAATGCTGAAGTTCTCCCAGAGGTCATCCCAGTGCCAGGAACACTTGGGCACCTCTGTCAGAGGTTGTGCTATGAAGCAGGTGGGAGGAAATGGTGCTCACCGTGCTTCTGTGCTCAATCTGTGGTCTCTCCAGGGCAATGGTGATGCAGTTGAGGAAGATGAAGGCCAGCACAACGTAGTCAAAGAGCTTGTGAGCAATGACAGTTTGGCAGAGGAGGCGAAACCTGCAAGAGAGTTCCAGTAGGCACCAGTGCCTTGGGAAGAGCAAGGTTAGGAGCTATGAGAGGTCTGGCCAAAACTGAGCTATGATGTAGCAGCTTTCCTATCACCAATACAATGTCCTTTGCCATGGCAGCATCCCCGGGTGGCCCATGGTCACACAGGGAGCCTGGAGCAGAGCAAGGGCAGAGCAAGGAACTGAACCTTCACCCATTGTCCCAGTACCAGAGTGGTTTCCTAACCACTACAGCTCCCTGCCCCTCTCTTGCCCTGTAGAGAAGAGGCTGAGTTTCAGTTTTCTTCCCAAACTCTCACTTTGTACCACCCCAGGGTAGAAAGGCCTCATGCTGGCAGCTGAGGAGAAGCAGGTAAAGTGGCAGTAAGTTTTGGGGACCACACTTCTGTCTGCTCTGAAAGACACTGTGCCCATGAGGTGTCACACAGAGCAAAGAGCTCTCCCTCACAACCTGTAAGGAAACCTCCCTTCATTTCAAGGGATGATGCACACGGGGGAGAATACATGGGTTAGGGTACATGGACATTTTGTTTTGGTGTGAAGACCCCTTAGCAGGAAGAATTTATGCCAAATTTCTTTATTTCAGGCAAGAAGAATTCTAACTTTGCCCTAAAAAAGTGTGATAGAACTGCTTTTAAGTTGATACTGGGACTGAAAATTAAATGAAGAGACTGTTCTGGTACCAGGGGAGGAAATATCAGTATTACAGAGTTGTTAATAATACATTCCTTCGTTTTGGGCTAATGTTAGTATTCCCTGACTTGCTTTGCTATAAATATTTATGATTACACACTAGAAAAATGGGATGCTCCAAAGGGAGGGAAAAATCACAATAGCTAGTTAGGATTCTCATCCTTCTTTTCATCTCCATAATCAGGGAAGAGAAAAGTCACTTGGCTGTTGAAGGGGAGGTGGAGGACACAAAACACCTTCCCAGGTGCTAAGTTTCAAGTTGCAACCCAACATGCAGCTCCAGCAACATGGTCAGCATGGCAACAGAACCTGACCCATCATTTCAACCCTGCCACCAAAATCTGCACTAACCTGTTTTGTGGAGAGAAGAGATAGATGGACCAGTCTTCCCTCAGCTCACACCAGTCTGGCTTGTAGACTTCCATCATCTTCCGGATGCGAAAGCACAGGCTCTGGAGGGAGGCAGCAGAAGCAAGTGCCACTGGTTACTGTCCCACTTGCCTGAGAAGCCCACTCCTCTCACATCTGACCCCAAAATGTCACTACCTGCAGCTCACCAGGTGGACTACCTGCTTTTCTTTCAGTCCCTTAAGGAGGAAATGGGCTCAAAGAGCAGCAAGCCACTGAGAAGGAGGTAGGAGCTGCTTTGCTGGAGCCTGTTTTCCTCTTGGCATCTTGTTTCCTCCTCAGATTGTTACAAATAAAACTGCTGGTGTCCTCTCTAGGGCAGGATATTGTCCATGATGCCTTCTCAGAGCTGTTGGAGTGACTGTTAGAGGAGGAAAATGTTTTCTGGCTACCCCTTTTCCAGCTAAAATGAGGCCAGGCCAGGAAGGTTTGGTCTTGGAGGTGATTTAATTCCATCCAGTACATATGCTTGTTCAAATTTCTAATGACCCTCCCTCCACTTTTTCCACTTTTTTTTCCACAGAGCAAGGAGACTGGAATTTGAGGATGGGTTTGGGGCTTCCCAAATCCACAGAGCAAGGAGACAGGAATTTGAGGATGGACTTGGAGTTTCCCAAATCCACAGAGCAAGGAGACTGGAATTTGAGGATGGACTTAGGGTTTCCCAAATCCACAGAGCAAGGAGACTGAAACTTGAGGATGGGTTTGGGGTTTGTAACCCCAGGTTCCCTCCACCCAGTACTCACATAATCTATCTCTTCATCATCTTCTCCCCGTTCCTTGCGGCTGTTCATCTTTGGGAAGATCTCCTTGGCAATACCGGGCATTTTGCCATTGCAGTCTTGATGCTCACCAGCCCCAGACATTGCACCCAGCTTATGGGTCCCTCTGTGGCCAGGTGGGACTGAGGCCAACTCCAGCAGGTCCCAGGAACCTTTGTTGTCCAGCGAGAGCGTGCGACGGTGCTGGAACACCCTCCCTGCCCCTCCTGGCTCCCCAGCTGCTGCCCTGTGCTTCTCCCCAGCCAGGAGGGACTCGTGCAGGAGGGACTCGTGCTCCGTGGAGGGAGGGTTGTGCTTCAGGCTGTGTCCCCTGGCCAGGCTGTTCCAGCTGGAGCGACGGCTGCCCCAGGCTCCACTGCGGCCCCAGGAGCTGCGGGAGCTGGACTGTAAGAGAGCAGGATTAGGGCCTCCCCGGGCACAAGGAAGGAGAATTCAATCCTGTTTCAGCTCACAGACTCAGCCCTGGGCCCCTCAGCTGAGAGGTTGTCATTTTTCAGCTGTTGAGGAAGGTGGATGGTGGGAGTTTAGCAGAGAACACAGTAAATCTGCCCATAAATTGATGATGAGTTTGCAGTGGTGTTGGCTGGTGTTTCTTTACAGCACCAGCTGTATGCAGAGCACTTATGGGGAAGGTAAAAAGAAAAAAAAAAGCCAAAGGCCAGGTGTCTAATGTTGTTACTTACACCAGCACAGAGCAAGAATAAAGCTTGCCAAAAATCTGGCTGGCAGCTTTTAATGCTGCCCTGGGGTAAAGGATAAGGCAAGGGATGGTGATGCATCAATCTGACACACCATCTCTGAGTACAGATGCAGGCAGAGGAAGAAGTGAGAGAAACATGCTTGCTGGTTACAGCCTAGCCCAACCACGTCAGCAGCTCACCATGCAGTATGTGGCTGCTAGTTCTCCCATTTAGAAATAACTTGCCCAGCAGTGCTTGGGCAAGTGCTGAGTTGCAGCAGGATCTGCTTTGAGGAGCTCCAAGTCAAGGTTTCTCCCTTCATTGTTACAAAAGATGCCAGAAAACCCATCTGTTGTGGGATTTGGCTCTTCTGGCATCAGCCAGATATTCTTATGCTCTTCACTCACTCAGGGCATCATTCTGTGTTCCAGGAAAACCAGTAAAGGTCAAGGTGAAAAAATGTGTTTCACTCCAAGAGAGAAACTCTGTCTCCTTGGTGTTCCCCCTCTCCCACTAGAAGAATTCAAAAGACCTGAATCCCACATTTGATGGAATATAGATCAATAACCTGGAAACAGGCTTCAATAATTTGGAAAATAAGATAAATAATGTGAAGTGACCTAACTTCCTAAAGACAGGCAGTGTGCTTGTGTTTGAAGCCTACAGCAGCAGCTCAAGCCTCCAGGGCAACCCCCAGATGATGGCAGGAAGACAACAGAGGGCTTGGACTTGGAAAGAAGGGTACAATATGTACTTCTACCCCCTCCCTGACTCACCAAGGACCGCTGGTCACAGGTCACTCTCCCCAGGGACATCACGCTGCTCTTGCGAGAGCCGACAGCCACACGGATGTGGTCAGGCTGCAGGGAGTTCCTTGAAGGGTTGGAGACCCCCCCAACAGCTACTGCTGGGTTGGAAGAGGGCAAGGATGGGTCCAAATGCCCATTAGGTGTCACAGGAATTGCACAGAGCTTGGGATCTAGATGGGAAGATGCAGCAAGAAGAAGAAAGAGAAAAGAAGAAGGTGGGTTCCTCACTCTCTAGTGACTGTTCTGATGTCTGAGCTGTTAGTGTGTTAGCAGCATCTGACAGAGTATCACAGCATCAATCAATACCAATTCCTTCTGATTTAGGGTGTTATGACCTGTAAATTTCTGCAATCATACTCTTCTGCCAAGTCTATCCTACTACACTGGGCCTCTTAAAATGAGCCAGCATTGACCCCAAAGATCCAGGACACCTTTGAGGGGTAGGTGCCATGGATGACCATCAGCATTTGTCAAGATGGATGGAAGGGATGGGGTGCTGGATTTCAATGTCTGAAAGGACTAGAACAATAATTTTTGGTTGACCTGTTGCATAATGAAGGTCACATACCCCCACCTGCATGCAGCAGCACAGCCATGAGTGCACCAACAGGCTCCATAAGCTCTTCCCCATCTGCCCTCCTAGGGGTCTGGCTTCCTACACTGCAGGAAAGCTCTGATACAGTGCAGACATCTAGCCCAGGCTCAGACTGCTGTGAAAACAGTTGCAGGAAAGAGCTGTGACAAGCCAATGCTGGAGCCACTGCTCCTTGCTGTGGGAGCTGCATTTAAGCTCAGACCTGTGTCTGTGGTGCTTGCCTGGGTGATGTTGTGACTGTTCTGGTGCCTGCCCTTGCACCTTGCTGATCCTGGTCTTGCCTTGCTGACTGGACTTCTTGGCTTGACCTCAGAGCTGCCTTGCCTGCTCTGCTCACCTTGAACAAGGACTGTGCCTCTGTGGGTGTGGTCCCTGCCCTTCTGCCTGGCTGTCCCTCCCCCTCAACTCCTGGCTCACTGTCCATTGTAGAACAAGCTACCCTGCCCCCAAAGCCCTGTCTGAAGTATAATTCCTCTTGTAGAAAGACTTGCAGTCTTCAGGGAAATGCTCCCGGGGTGAAGACCTTACCTGGCAGTTTGTAGGCAAACTGTTCCAACAGTTAATTATCTTTCTTTAAGAATATGTGGCTTTTTTCAGTCTGAATTTGTCTGGCTTTGGCTTCCAACCTTTACAATCTCATTATGCTTTTTTCTGCTCAATTAAAGAGCCATCTACCATCAGAAATCTCTCCTTATGGTTGGCACTTAGACAGTGTAGGATCAAACTACTTCTCTGGTTTCTCTAAGCTTCATTAGCCTCTTGCTATGAGGCAAGACTTCCAGGTTTGTCCAAGTCCTTTTTCAAGGGTTGGTATCCCCTGTCCAAATGTGAGTCCCAGATTTGGAGGCAGTGCTCCTGAAATGGTGCCCCTGAAGCTAAGCAGAGACAGTCTCACTTCTCTACTGCTAGCTGCTGTTCTGTAGGTCATTGAAGAACTGCTCCCCTTAGCCATCCCACTCCTCAGGATGCCAGCATGGCTCTGTTCTACCACAGGTAACACCACAAAGTTCAGAATGAAAACTGTTAAGCTCCTCAAGAAGGGAGTGGATTTTCTGCAGAATTTGCTTTCAGATTTCTCACTCAACAGCAATGGGAGACAAGCAAATGAGGCTATTTGAGCTGTTGTACCTGAGCCCTCCTGGATCTCTTGGAACTGATCTAACTCCTCCATGTTTGATGAACTCTGATCTTCATCTGAATATGACCGGTTGGCATCACCCTGGAACACACAAATTTAGAAATTGGGAACTTATAAACAGAAAAGACCATTTGTTCTTGTCTTTCATTGCTGTGACAACTGTAAAATCCTCCTTGGCAGCTAGGCACCAGTGTGACCACTGGAAGGAGTCTCATGTGCCCTGGGATGTACTGCATTCTTGGTTTTGGAGGTGCAAAGGACTTACCCTAGTAGGGGAGGGTCTGTTGCACAGGCTGGAAATTCTGAATTCCCTCCCAGAGAGCTTTTATCTTTCTTTGCAAAGATTAATATTGACATCTTTGGGTTTTTCTAATGAAGCCAATCCTGAATTTAACAAGGCAAATGACAGAGGCGTGATACTTTGAGAGTCCTCCACCTCAGTACCCTTAAAGTGTCTCAAAGGTTCCCTTTTTAGCACCTCTTTTCCTTCTCCTGATGAAGCCCTGGTGGCAACTCACCTCAGCCTGGAACCCCTCCACCAGAATGGCCACCAGCAGATTGAAGAGGACATAATTGCCAAATGTCATGAGAGCCACAAAGTAGAGGGATGCCCATGGCGAGGTGGAGGCCATGCCATTGTAGAGCACCACATTCCAGTCCTCTTGGGTGAGGATCTGCAACCAGGAGCAGAGGCCACATGAACATGAAGGGGATTCTTAGAAAAGGACAGTGAAAGGACACACATTAGGACCACATCAGGCCTCTTAACTTCTTAACTTGTTGTTTGGTTACAACCCCCTCCAAATATCACATGCTGGAGTCTTTTGTGTGGCCTTTTGTGCTCTTAGGAGTGCCATGCAGAAAAAGCCCCTCATGCTCCTCTTCCTTTTGCCCTGGCCCACCCCTAGAGAGCACAGTGGGCTCACCTGGAAGACAGTGACAATGGCCCACAGCAGGGAGTCAAAATTCTTCCTGTCAGGAACCGTATCTCCCGTGTCTGTCCTGAGGCTGAACTTGCAACCAAAGATGTGCATTCCGAGGATGCTGTTGGGACAAGAAGTGGAGATGGTGTCAGACAGAAATATCTCAGTGGCCAGAACAGGCTCATCAGAGTCATTCTCTTTTCCTGGTGACCA